AAAAAAATCTTAGTAGAGCTAGAAAGAAAAAGTAGTTTAAGTTTCTTCTGACCTCTTCAGACCAGAGGGTAGCTTGCTGCAGTAGCAATCCCACACTGGTTGGATTTGTTCCTGCTCATCTTAATGTATCCCTTGACTCCCCATTCAAGACCCCAGCTGCAGAAAGAAACAAATTAATAAACATTTAGCAGATATAACATGTAACCGAATGTAGCGACGTAATAATCTACATGTATTACCTCTCAGTAACTATTAGAACGAGCATCAATCAAGTTATTTACCTGTTCTTGACCAGCCAGTAGTCATTTCCGTCCTCAGTACCATAACCCACAGCCAGCACACCATGGTCCAACTGTAAGCTGCTGCACTGGGGCTCATTATACACTCCTAGAAATACATATCATTTAGACTGAGAGGTTTAAAAATAAATAAATAAATCTTCACATTTCTTCCTCTATATAACATTTTTATTTGGCTCTTTCAACACAGTGTTTTACCTGATTCGTAGAATTGGAATGACATCTGAGAAGCATCAATGGCTACAGAAACGGGTCCGATGGTGGCTACAGCCTCTTTCAGGGCGTCTTCATCGCCTTTACTCACATCAGTATAGCCGGTGGATGTGGCTCCAATATTATCAGGATTATAACGGCATTTTCCATCCTAGTCAAGAGAAAATTATCTACTGACACATTTTGCAAGTCGCTATTGTAAAAATATAAGAGATGAGAGCATTTACCAAGAGCTATAATTTTAAAGATAAATATAAAAGTAGTCAATAAATTGACCTTGATCAGATTTGCGTCACTAGATATACTTTTTCCACAAGGTGGCAGTAAAGTACACCAGTTGTTTGCAAGTCTATCATGAATAATTGTCTTTTCATCTCCAACTCTATCATTTGTCAAGATAATGACAGTCAAGTGATGAACAACAACATTATAACATTATAATAAGCACATTATTCTCCACTCTTTTATTACCTCGGCCTCATAAGGGTAGGACTCCTCAGTGTCAATCCCTCCATTTTCTTGGATGTACTGGAAGGCGGAGTCCATCCAGCCTCCACCGCAGCCCTCATTGCCATAGTCTCCCGAGCAGTCGACCAGCTGCTGCTCGCTCAGAGACACCAGCTTTCCTGTCTTCCTGAAGTGCTGACCCTCCAGTGAGCCAGTCTGCAACAAGCGTCAGTCAGTTTGAAGCCAACAGTCGAGCAAAGTTTCCTGCTTTACAATAATAGAGAAGACTACGTTATATGTACTCACTGCACTGAAGGCCCAGCAGGAGCCACACTGCTTCTGATCCTTGACATCAGTGACGTATCCCTTATCTCTCCAGTCAACAGTGTCGGGCAGATCAGTACCTTCAGGTAGTCTAAGTCTGAAGAAGGTAGAGCCGCGGCGAGGCAGAGAAGCATTGAAGGAGTGAAGGCAGCCCTGGGAAATCACTCGCTTGTACTCTTCATTTTCCTGATGAAGAAGAACATAATTCTGGGCTTATTGGGTTGTTATCCAAAATGCTATTCTCTGTGTCGTTCTCTGCTAATTGCAGTGAAAAATGCTGATGACCTACACATAAAAACCTAAACAGACATACAAACATACCATGTCAGCAAAGTAGGTCATGCCGAGGCGGTAGGACTTCAAACCCTGGTCTGCCAAGATGTTGTGTACAAGCACAAATTTGCGGTTGTTGAGCCAGATCTGCCTCCGGTGAGCCTCCTCTGATGGAGAGTGGTAGGATCTTTCTGCCATTTTGAAAAACAATTGTCAGAAAGAGAATGAAGGAACCAGGATGAATCCTTAAATATTAACAATCTAATTTCCAGTAAGAGATTTTCCTTTATTCTAGTCTTATAATGTTTTACAAGCATGTGAGCGTGAGCAAGGCCAAATTTAAGAGTTCCTTTAAGACCACGAAACATGATGAATATCATTTGACAAAAAGCTCAAACAAATAGGAGAGGAAGAGTCTGCTGTCTCACCAAACTTGAGTTTCCAGGCATGAAACTCCAGATCTTCCAGAGAGATGCTGGCACAGCTGGCCACAGCCAGAACAGCAGCAACAACAAGCAGCAACTTCATCTTGACTGAACACAAGCAGAAAAAGACACAGATCCTGTGTGGTGTGCAGAAAACCAGACAGCTTGTTTCTGATGCCTGTCACATCAGCTTTAAAATACTCTCTATCGTGATGTTGGATGTCACTTCCACACTACCACAGTATCCGCTCTACGTCCTGGTTTCTTTAACTTTCTGTTTCATCTCTACTTTCTATTCTTTCTCAAATGAATGACTCTTTCATCATTCTGTCACTAAAAAGTGTAGTCTGTGTGTGCAGTAGTCTGTGCTGTAGCTACTCACCTGGCTCGATGTCAGTGTACGTGCTGAAGACTGAGGTAGAAGCACCTGTGAGTGTTGTAGAGCTGTCTGAGGAGTTCTTATATAGCCAGCTACAGTTATGACTACAGTATTCCAGTCAGGTGGCTGTCAGCAGGTCACAAAAAATATGGCACATGAAAGTCAATCATTGAAACAGACAAAGGTGGAGTTATACATTAAGAGGAGGATCACACGATGACACTGTTTTGAGGAAATATTTTAGTCAACCTAAGCAAAAACACTGAACATTACTGTCATGAATCCTGTTTACTGCTTTTTTCTTTGGTTTTTAGGTTTTTTTGAGGGCATGATCAGTTTTGGTTTAGTCATATGGATTCATGTTCAACAAACACCATATGCCTGTATGTGTTATTGTAATCTGTTTCCCACCACAAAGAGATGGGAAGTCTCCAAAACGAACAACAGCAGAAAAAACAAACAAACAAAAACAAAGCAGACGTACAGAAACAACACAGCGTGTGTGCTAATGTGTCATCCACCTGCGAACTGAAACCTTAAGAAGAAACAGATTACATCATTCTGGAAAATATGCAAAGTCCTCATAGAGGTGCTTTTATTTCTTGAAATTGTAGGTGGCACCTCAGCTAACACCCACTCAGTGAATGTTGTTTAATGAGTTACATGAATGATCAGGATGTATTTGAAGTGTTACCCCATCTTTTTTCTTCTTTAAGAAGCTGAAATGATGTATTGTCTTCATATGTACGCATATAACCTCTCTCAGACTGATTAAAGTCTCTAAATTTTCCCACAAATATGGAATTTCTGTCCCCTTTTGTCTGAAAGTTTTCTTAAGGTTTTGAGCTACGGTGCAAACAAGCACACAGCCACACACAACTTCCGATAAACTCTATTCTGAGTTTGATATTGTTTGATTTATGATTCATGCGGGTTTCCACTGACAGTTATTCAACACTTCCTTTCTGTTTCCACAAACACATCCTGTTTTTAAGCTTGACTGTAAGGCCTGATTTTCTGGGCAAATCCCACCCATCTTTATCAGTGCAAATACAAAAATGTGCATTTTGTCTTTAAATTCTTCCCTGTAACTAAGATATCAGCCCTTTTTTTTACTGGCAATTTATCTTCTGTAACTGACGTCTGTCTGTCTGGCTGACTAGTGGTCACAAGGCTTTCAGTGTTACGATAGCCATAAAGAAGATGTGGAGTGGGTGGGAAACTAAGAACTAAGCAAAAAGTTTACAGATTTCAAGGAACTCTTATTTTAGTTTATGTCATGCATCTGACATCCCAACTGAAAGCACAGATATCAGTATTTTGTACACAAGATTGGGGTTATTTCTGTCAGAAAAGTGCAAATAGTTTGAATTCTAATACCTCTGGATCTATAAAAAAAACAATATGCTGTTTTCTTTCTATGATAGAAATGCATAACTATTGCTACAGTGTAGCTTTGCAGTAGTATTATAATGCTTTATATATTTTCAGCAGTGGCTAATGTAAGGCATGAGAGGACAGTTCATTAGTGGTAGAAGAACACAGTTTTTGTTTCGTTTTTGTTTGTTTTTTCACTTAAGTGAAAGTAATACTACTCTGTAAAATATATTTAAAATTAAAGCCTGAAAGTCAAAATCCTCTAAAGTGAAAAAAACTATAATGTGTGAAAAAAAACAACAACTACAGCTGTTAGTATGGGAACCAGACAAATGTGTAGAGTCATGAAAACTATTCACAATAGACGATCGGAGACAAACATGAAGATTGTAATAGATAATAAAGTTATCTTTTTATTATTATTTTTTATTATTAGGAAGGTTGATTTTATTGATTTTATGTGTTTAATTATTTTATTATAATAAATAAATGTCATTATTTTTTTCCTGGGGGGTGGCATGTCTCCCAGCTAGATAAATTAATCTCACATAGTATTAAAATGATTTGTTTTTATTGTGAAGTCCAGCAGAAGTGGTCAGGTGCAGCATAGCGTGGATGCATAACAAGTGACAGGTTCACCGTGAGTCAGCACAACAGCAATTACGAGGATGGAAGTTCACAAATCAAAGTTTGCACATTTTTGTCTGCTTGTTTCGGGAAAAATGTGGAAGTAAAGCATGTGAACATGTTATGGTAAATGGGTCTAGGGACTTATCTGGAAAAATTAAAAGTGAAGAAAAAAAGTTTTGTGTGTGTTCTGTGATTTCTGCTACCACTTGTTTATACTACATCACATGTGTTTCTTGCTTCATTTTTATTTGTCTCTTTTAGCTTGCACATGATGATTGTATCAGTTAGATATTAAAAGTTAAAACAGCAGGAAAGTCACATGTTTAAGAAATTCAGATGAGTAAAGCACAAAACTCAAGTTTACTGTGTTTTACACTCAGTAATCAGGTTATAAGATTCCAGTTTATTTAAAGCAGGGAGAATGACAGTTGATCACTGAGTGAATCATATGATTATTAAAATAAAAGTTGAAGATTTGGATCACAAACATGTAGTAAATCTGTATTTGTATATAATGTGCCATTTGACTCTAGAACCTGTATCATGTGACTACCACCAATGAGCCATCATATGACTATTGTTTTGAATCTGGGTCAGCATAGGGTTTGTCTTATTATAAACTCTTACTGAAACCAATGCATAGTGCAAGTGAGGCAACACAGGTTCTCAGAAAGTGCTCAGTAATGTCGGCCACTAACCTTTGCTCCCATATGTTGAGATGTTGTCCTGAACATGTTGTTCTCAAATTTCTGTACCATGTTTTTTACACATGATTATGTATTATTTTTTATTAACAGACAGTCTGTGCACATTTATGAAAATGTCTTTTCAGTGTAATGATTATATAGCTGGAGCAAATGCAAGGTTTTTTTTTTAGTTAGTAGCTATTGATAAAGCTATATATAATCAACCAAGTAATCAACAGTGACCTCTGTACTAAGAGATACTACTGGTCAAATAGTTATAAAAATGAGCTAAAGTAGTTCATGGTTTTGACAGTTGATCTGACAGGTGCTCTCCAGTACTCATGGATAAATATGCAAAGCAATTTATTCGCTCAAAGAAGAAGCTCATGCTATTTTTTAATTCTTAATTTTGTGTTTTCATAGCTAGTTTTAGTTAGCGTTGCTGTAAAAGCGCCATAAACTGTGTCTTGGCTGCATTACAGCAGCTCAGCCTGTTGTAAGTGTGCCCTGTAAAACCTTTATTTGTTGTTGGCTTTGCAGTGCTATAAACACACCAGGAGATGTCACTATTTCATTTGGAATATTTCAGTTTACTAACAAACATGGAAACCACCAAACCAAATCCACTTTCTGTTAGTAATCAAACTAACGAATCAGTAATTAATCAAATTAATCTACAACTTTAGGTTAAATTAGGTTAGGTTCAATTTTAATTTTAATCTTGGTGTTATCCATAGTGACTCAATTTATGCGTTCCTCATACAAACTACACTTGAATGTGCTGCTTCACATTATGTGGGATTTATTGACAGCCATGTACTGTAATGTGACAATATCTGTGGCTGCACACTTACTATGGATTAGATCCTGGAGGGTAAAAAAAAAAAGAGGCTAGTGTCAGCAACAATACTAGCATGAAAAGGCTGTAAGGTGGTTGGAATGGGAAGCTGAGAGGAAAGCTATCCCTGGTAAACTCTTTTAATTTTATTACTCTACATGTTTCCTCAGATTAAAGCCAATCACATAGTTGGCTGCTCTCTTAAGGGGGCGAGGGGTCACACATAACAGCCACTAAATTGTGACGGTGGCCAAGACTGGCATACCTTAGGGCATAATCTGATTATCAGATCAATAACACAGCAACATTTGGTGCATAGCTGGGATGGCTTGCTTCTTCTCTGGTTACACGTGGCTGGCATTTGCCACTCATTCCCACTTTATAGGTGACAAAGTGTGAATGCAAGCAGGAATTCAAATGGAAGGCCTTTTAAATAAGACGAGGTGCACAGCCTAACCTTGATCACATCTGGCTCTGCTACTGTATCTGGGAATCAGACAGCTATGAAAATGTCAGGGCACCCAACAAGTGTGCAAAATTAGAAACAGACCGAAAAGCCTTCATCACAGATATGTTACCTGACACCTGGAGTCTTCCCATGGAGCCAAATTTCTTCAGGCTAATATTAGTATTTATTATCTAGAAGTATTACTCTCTTATATTCATGTTGCTAACATCGTTCAAGGTAAACATTTATGAGATGTGACAATGAACCATAAAAATATTTATTGACATCACATTCTTGGACACGAAAAAATGAGCACACCGAAAAAATAATCCCACAAATATTAAGAAAGCCAAAATTCAAAATTTCCACGAATGACAGAGAACAAAAGGACTAAAATGGAACAGCATCAAATTGAAAGTTCAGTTTTACCTGATAGTTCTGAGCAAACAAATCGTGGTAGATGCGAGAGATATTCTCCACATAAGATAGATGATAGATCTGGTATGGTCAGCTTTATCACCTCTTTTAAAATATATATATATATAAAGCACAATCAGCTTGACACAAAAAAATTCAGAACACTGGCCAACCTAATATTTTAGAAATGCACATAAACACCAATAAATATAAACACTTTATTTCAGAGAGCAGTATTATATAATAACAAACACAAAAGGCCTCATGATAACAGTCACAGAGCTTAAACTGCCATAATTGCTGCTCTTGTTTATCACTGAATGTTGCATTTGTGAAATGCAGATAAGTGGATAATGAAAACCACTGTACCAACACAGAGCATGAGACAGAGATAACCAGGGACATTGGAGGAAATCCCTACTCTCTGCTATTCATCCCTCTGTCCCTCCATTCATCCTTCCATCTCTCTGTCCTCTGCAAAAAAAAAAAAGAAGTCTGTTGTGATCCTGTCTTTCTCAGTCCAAACAGGTCACTGTGGCTCCCACCTTGCCAAGGTCTGTGCAGTGACAGCAGAGGGAGACCAAAAGAGCTGAGAAAAAGAGAGCAACAGCACAGATTACAGACAGTTCGGACACTCTCCCTCTCTCGCTCCCTCTTTCGCTTTGCTTTATCTCCATGGTGCACACATGTCGACCTGGAGCAAGGCTGTATACTGGCAGGGGAGGCTAGAAACAGAGTGAAGGGGG